CATGTGTTACATTATTCTTAACATTTCCTTTACAAGTTTTCACAGATGTCTTAAAGACAACTGCTTTTCCACATAATTAATGCTTTTAAATTAAGAACTGGACATATTAAAGGTAATATCATACCAGAACTATTTTGACTTTTTCTAATTAGATATATGATATTGTTTATCATATAGCAATTTCATTTTTTTCCAAGAAAACACAAATAAACAGGCAAATTCTCTGGATAAAAATTCTAAAAATCTTCCCCAAAGACAGAGCATAGAGGAATGGTAGTAATGTGGTATAATGACAAGAAGTATAAACATCTGCCTTTCTTTTTGATTAACTAAGGTTTGGCAGTGTTTGGTATCCATAGAAGTGGATTTTATCATTACTACAAACTACATGTGAATTTCATCAAATATATAATTACTGTAAGTTATTGGTGATTAAAGCTCTCACACCAATGTTGTTTGAATACATTTATCTACATTTAATCAAAATTTTAAAACCTAGAAAAAATCTTTACTAACCAAAATAATGAAATTCTGAAAGGCTTGACAGACAACTGAAACAAGTTTAATCAACTGTGTCCTTTTATCAAAGAAGAGAGTTTTCAAGATGATTTCGATATGGTAATATTAGTTCTTCAGTCATTTTTAAACCACAATTTTATATAAAATAAACTCAGTGAATTTTTCTTATAATGTCAGTACTAAATATTAAATTATTTACCTGGATATAATGAAATTTTTAATGCACTGACATCCCCCAAAATCTTGAAAATAAATATATGACTTAAAATAATTAATGAAATATGGGAGTCAAAGTTAAATACTACAGTCTACTGTTTGTTTAAAAAAATTGAAAGGCATTAACTGTGTATGTTCTTTAGTATGAAAATAATGTTATTTGTCTATTAGTTAATCAATAAAAATACAGGAGGAAATATAGAGGGTTTGCTATTCATGTGAGAGAATATTGTGTAAGATCCTTAGGGCTGAGGGAGCCCAGGTTACCTGATATTGGGATCCATGCTCTTAACTACCGAGGCCCCCACACTTGTTCACTCAGACTACATTTCAACTTCATGGCATCACAGGATGAATGTACCCAAGACCTATCCAGTCCATCTGTAAAGCTGACTTGTACTCAAATTTCCTGCTCTTTTACTAGTAAACTTTAGGAAATAATGCTAATAGTAGGTGCTCAGCAGCCAATGATTCCTGCAGAAATGCCCTGAGAAAATTTTTAAAATGCTAACATCACGATCTTTACAAACATGTGCTCTATTTCAAAAGTCTGCATGTTTGTAACTAATTCTTAGGATATTCCCTTTAGGAAGAGCCATTCAGAGAAATAATTTTCTAAATATTCAATGTCAGCAATATCTCCTACCGTTTTAATATTTTGTATTTTTGTTCCTATGTTCTTTTATTGATACCTTTTTTTCTTGAACATACTTAAGCTATTTTCTGTTCTTAGCTTACAGATGAATACTAAAAATGTAATATATATTGCAGAAAAATCCATGAAGTTGAAAGTTAATTCAACTCAGAATTTCTTTCCTTGCTCTGCTATTTGTGTGGCATTCAGTTGAATCATTTGTGAATTGTTAGGCATTATGGGGTTCCATCCTGCCCAAAGTTGCTTCTGATGTTGGTGAATGCTTCTCAGATCATGAGATTCATAATACCCTTTCATTCAAAAGTTCTGCAATTCTGTTGTTAGCTGGTATAGCCACTTTTCATTGAATGCCAACTCTGAAGGCAACAACCTGGGTTTCTGACTTAGTGGATGTATAACCCATTCAGTCTAATGAATCACATTCCCTTTTTTACTTTGCCTTCCATTGTATCTTTTAGCCATGTGACAACATGCCCTGCAGGGCTTTAATTATTTTTTCTTTTTGGAACTGGAGCAACATCATGTAAAAGTCATCAACTCACCTTCAGAAAACACTGCAGAACACCACACCAAGTATTGTGGTTGATGTTACAAATGTAACAAGAAAAGGCCTTGAAAATGAGTTTATTTGGAAATTATATTTTGGTCTTAAATACTTGAAATTAATCAATGAAATTATTCTTGATTTTAGAAAAAAAATTGATTTTCATGGGAAAAATATTTTGTCAAACAAAAAGAGAGAGTGAGAGAGAGAAAAGATAATAGCCTAAAATGTTTGCTTTGACACCAAAGTATCAAATAATTGCTCCTCTCCTCTCATTTTATCATACCTGGGGCATGGAAAGATATTTTCAGCTCTGATGTTGGTGAATGCTTCTCAGATCATGAGATTCAATGTATCAAATAATTGCTCCTCTCCTCTCACTTTATCATATCTGGGGTCATGGAAAGATATTTTCCGTTACTACTTAGAGAAGTATGATTGGGTAAAAGTTCATTTTCTTTCATATTATGTAATCTTGTTATTAAAGATAATTTACTTCTATTATTATCAACCAGGCCCTTCTAAGGAAACATTTACATATACCACTGATTCAATTGTAGGTGTCTATTAAGGAAGAATATCCTGCAATATAAAAAGCAATTTTTTAAAAATCTTGAATATGCTTTAGTTTTCAATATTGTTATCTTCATGAATTAGATTTCCATCTCTTAAAAATATTACATATATTGTATATTATATAATTTATATATCCTGAGGAGATATTTGTGATTATTTTATAGATATTTTAATACCAGTATAAAAATAATATATGAAAACTTGCTTTTAAAAAAATAATTGAAAAATTAAAAAAATAGAATTTTAAGCTTTTCAAGTATACCTCATCAAATTATAAAATTTTAAAATATGCTTGGTGCACGACAAATTTGACATTAACTATATTATCCAAATTAAGCAAGTATTAACTTATTATTCCTGATGAAAATGGGTGCATCATTAGCAAAAGATTCCCATTAAAAAGTCAGTGAATATTTTTCTTCTGTTTGCTTATTTCTTGATTTTTTTTCTTCTTTCCTTCCTAAAGACAGGCTCATAATTAGGTGCCTTTTGCCTGGAATTTGTTTGCTATAGGGAAATAAAAGTATATCTTTTTATCCTGAAACTTACAGGAAGGAAAGTAAAAGACCAGAATATTGCAGTTGAAATGGATAGATCTGATACTGTGAGATACTTTGTAAAAAGTGTGAAAGGGAGCCCTAACTGGTTTGGCTCAGCGTCGGCCTGCGGACTCGAGGGTCCCGGGTTCGATTCCGGTCAAGGGCATGTACCTTGGTTGCGGGCACATCCCCAGTGGGGGGCGTGCAGGAGGCAGCTGATCAATGTTTCTCTCTCATTGATGTTTCTGGCTCTCTATCTGTCTCCCTTCCTCTCTGTAAAAAATCAATAAAATATGAAAAAAAATTTTTTTTAAAAAAAGTGTGAAAAGGAAAGATGAGTCTGCTTGGTGTAGAATTAAATGGATTCAATCATTGAATTCATTTAACATGTTGATTGTGTTGATTTATATTTTTGTTATTTATTTGTTTAATTTTGGATCCAAATGCAATCAACATGTTTCTTATGTCTCTTTTAATTATTCATTTTAAATAATATTTAATTAATTATTTAATTAATTAAATAATACCTCTTGTCCCCGCCTTGCAGCCTATACATTGTTCTTATTCCTGAGTGCAGACTGTTGCTGGGTACTGATGAAGTTTCTTCCTGATGAGACTCACTGTAAAATATTTTGTGGCAGAAAAATTGGGGAAGACACAAGCCCTCTCCCTGGAGCTGATGTTTGGATTAAGCTTATAAAATGATGAGATGCCTCAATATTTCATAGTGGAGACTAGAGCAGAGTCTTGACCGACAGACCTGCTGAGCAGTGAATCCTAATTAGCAGTGCTAAGGACCTCTTTATATTTTCTTCTATTGTTACTCTAGAGTAGTTTATCATGTCCTGTAATAAGCTATTAGAAATTAAGGACAAACCTCTGTCAACTCAGTGCAAAGTAGTACTGAGCATTCAATCTTTCATTGTCCCCAAATTGATTACCTAGGGTCTGTGTTAGAAACTCAGGGTATAAAATTTAATGAAAATAGACATGACATTATTTTTAGTCAAGTAAAAAAGAGAGATAATAATCAAATAATTATCATAATATATCACTACTAATTGAGAAAGTGCTCTGAAGGAAAGGATATTATTCAAAATATCATAAAGCAAAAGAATCAATTCTTAATAATTAGAAAGAGATAATGAGGACAGGTACAATTTTGAGGTGATAAGGGCCTGTCGGGAAATGTTTATGGAACATACAATATTTCTCACCCAATCCTAGATTTTGGTTGAAGGAGAAAACCCTATTCCTAATAAGTCTTTCCAAATCTTTGAGAGTGGTCCTGACGCTCCTTTTATTAACAATGAATAAAAGGATTATCCCTGAAAGTAAGAGAGATATGAGCTACTTGGTTTCTATATCAAAACTGATTGAAAAACAAAGCCTTCTCCACCTACTAATTTGTCATGATGGCCAACACAGAAAATATTGGGTAAGCAGACAACTATATCTAGTCACAACATTTTTGACTTCTGGATAGGTCCAAATACAACTTTAAACTGCTATTTCAATACAAACTAAATGGTTGAGTGATTCCATTGACTATACCAGTATCAAGGTAACTTCATTTGTCTCGAAATACAGAGAGATTTCTTATAAGCCATATGTAAAATAATCATAAATAACCGTGTGTAAAACTATGAACACAAGCTGAACAGATTTAGAAATGCAATTCTTTTCCACACCATGAAATATTTCTCTACTTCAGCAATTCTTTGTGTGTGAGACACCAAAGACACTTATATAAAGAAACTGATTATATATTTAAGATAGCATATAGAAAATAATTTATAGAGAAAAAGATAAGAAACAAAAGAACAATTTTTTATTTAGAAAATACTGTGGCCTGGTATCTGCCTTGCCCACATGAACCATTATTCACAGAAGATAAGTGGTGGCAGATGTGGCTTCATTATGAAAAGAACTTAATGTCCAGCATCTGAGCAACTATACTTCTTAAAGAAAATTAATCCTGATCTCTCCTAATTGGACTTCCCTCTGCTCCTCTTTCCTCCCTAAATTTCCACCTGGAGTTTTCAGTAAATGATAGCAGTCTTGACAGGATCTAATGGTCTTAGTAATTTTTCTGCTGATCATATTCATAAACACCTCTTATAAGTACCAGTGTCCAGGGTGGAATGATTAATCTGAAAACATGGCCATTTAATCAAAAGCTGATTAGGAATTATATATTATCATATGTATTATTTTTATGTAATATGTATATATTATAATAATCCTTTGTATATTATATCTTTTCTTTCCTGTCATACTTTCCTCTAGGAGCAATGGGACAGGTATTGACAATATTAGCAGGGTTAATTTATAAGAAAATAAAAATACTATTTTTATGTACTTTACATACTTAACTGGGAAATTTGGAAATTCCATGAGTATTCTCCATGTGACTTTGGAGATATCACTGGGTAATAAGTATAATGCAGTGGAGGAGGAAGATAGTGATATTCGATCTGGGTGCCACTCCAGGCTAGCGAGCTGGAGTGGGAAGGACTGTGATCCAGTGAAGCCTCCCTGCTCTGGGATGACCCATCCTCCACATTCCAGGGAAATGGTCCCTCATCTCTGTGTCGTCTACTTTGGTTCTGTGTGTGCAGGCTGACCTTCCTATCCATCATCTTCTCACAAGATGGTTAAAACTCTCCATGGCATTTTATATCGGTGTTGTCCAAGAGAAATATTATTCAGGCCACATCGGTAATTTAAAATTTTATAGTAACCACATTAACAAAAGTAAAAACAGTGAAATGAATATGAATAATGTATTTAACTTAATATTTAAACTTCTATTTTAGCACATAATGTAAAAATCATTAATGAGTATCTCACCTGCTTTTCTTACACTAAGCTCCCAAATATGGTACATATTTTACACATACAGTACATCTCAGCTTGAACCAGCCACACTTCAGGGGCATAATAGCCACATGTGCCTAGTGGCTACCATATTGCTGAGCACAGCTCTAGATACTAGCAGTGGATTTGATTATTCTTCTCCTTCATGTGACCACAGGCCTAAATCAAGCAGTTAGCCACCTTATCAAGAATATCCTCCATTTGCATATACTGAGAAAGCTAGAAATTAGATGACCATGTCCCCCACTTTAGAAGTCAAATAACATCCTTTCTTTTAAAGTTCATTCTGTCTTGGAACAAATTTACATTAGTACCTATCCAATTCATAAGCAGAGCATATGAAACTTTATTCTGTCGCATTTAATCCCACACCTAGATATTAGGCTTGTACACCCTTCCCTCTTAGAACTCTTATCTAATTGTTGACAAAGCCCTTAAATGACTGTATAATGTGCTGGGCAGAAGTAAGCACATCAGTAGGGAGCAAAGAGAATTTCAAACTCAAGTGAGGTTGTGAATCATACAATCCATATACTATGTCCACAGGCAATTAGTATATTCATCATGAAACTGAAAGCATGGTTATTTTTATTCAAATAGAACTAGATTCCAATCCTGCCTCTATCATCTGTTTCTGTACCTAACATCTTCACAATAAGGAGCCCATTCACTCTAAAATAGAAAAAGTAATAATAACAGTACTTGATATTAAGAATTAAAATTGTAACCATACATTCAATATTTGCTTTGGATCAGGTTCTCTGCTAAGGATTTCACATCCATTAATTAATGTATTAAATGAAGCAAATAAATCTTATTAAATGAACTAATATATATAATATTGCTATCTTATATTGCTGATCAATGTAGTCACCTTAATAAAACAATAATCTTAATGTTAATTATCAGTGCTTTCCTTATTATTTTCTAGGCTGTGTTCAGTTTTCTTAACTGATGATAACATCTCAATTTTTATCATAGACAGAAAACCTCTAAGGACAAAATAATGTGTGTTATTTATTATATGAATCCCCAGGATATAGTTTGTTTGTTGCTTGTAAATCTTTGGTGCCTAATAGAGAATGAATGAATGAATAAATAAATGTTTCCCAAAAAAGGGCATTTCTGAATTCAATAGTCATGCTGTAGCAAAGAAGGCTAAATCAATTATGCTTTCTATTCCATTCAGAAAGCTGAATTTATCAGACAGCCTCCAAAATTTGTCCAAGCATACTAAAGGAGATACATGTTGTACAGTCAGTAAACCAACACAAATGTTTACTTAAATGGAGGAATCAGATTCACTGAAAACAGGACTAATTTGATTCTTTTTAAAAATTTTTTTCTTTATTTTTTAAGGTATTATATACGTGTCCTAATTTGATTCTTGATATTCCTCTTCTCCTGCCCCTCTCTGCTAAGGTCTAAGCCACAGGTGTGCCTTAATTGTTAATTGCTGGAACAGATTGACATACACAGTGGCCAAACCTGTGTGTACTGAACAGTCATATAAAAGGGGCTCTGCTCTTTGCCAGCTTTCATATTTGGAGGTTCATTGTCTGTTTCCTTTTTTCCCCAAAATCATACAAAGAATGTATTTTTGGGTGCTATATACATGTACAATCAAAACAAACCATACCAGCCTGGCAGGCGTGGCTCCATGGTTGAGCGTCAACCTATGAACCAGGAGGTCAGAGTTCGATTCTTAGTCAGGGCACAAGTCCAAGTTGCAGCTCGATCACCAGTGGGGAAGGGGGACTAGGGGGCAGCTCATCAGTGGTTCTCTCTCATCATTGATATTTCTATCTCTCCCTCTCCTTTCCACTCTGAAATCAATAAAACATAATTTAAAAAGCCATACAAAATTATTTCTGAGCTAATGTTGAGTTAATGCCCCTTTGTGTAAAAACTTCTAATATAAATTCTAATTTAAAATACTTTATAAGAGTGATCAAAATTTATTGATAAAGGTATCAACATTACTGAGAAAATTGAATATTCACATGTAAAAGAATAAACAAGGCCCCTATTTTACATCACTCATAAAAATTAACTCTAAAGAGATTAAAGGCTTAAGTTTAAGACTAGAATCCATAAAATTTCTAGAAAAATGAAACAGAGTTCTTTCATATGGGTCTTGGCAATGATGTTTTGGATATGACATTTAAAAGCACATGCAACCAAAGCAAAAATAAACAAGTGAGACTACAGCAAACTAAAAAGCTTCTGCATTACAAAAGAAGCACTCAAAATAATGAGAAGACAACTTATGGAATGGGAATAATATTTGCAAACTATATATCTGAGGAGTTAATATTCAAAATATATAAAGAACTCATAAAACCCAACAGCAAAAATAACAAACAATCCTATTAAAAATTGGCAAAGAACCTGAATAAACAATTTTCCTAAGAAGATATACAAATGGTCAGTAAGTACATGAAAGGTGCTCAATATTACTAATCATCAGGGAAATGCAAATCAAAACCACAATGAGATATAAACTCACCCCTGTTAGAATGACTATTATAAAAAACACAAAGCTGGCAAGTGCTGGTGAGAATGTGGAGAAAAGGGAAGGGAATTGTTGGTGGGAATGTCATCAGTACAGTCATTATAAAAAAATAGTATGGAATTTTCCTCCAAATTTTAAAAATGTAACTACCATAGGACCCAGCACTTTCATTTCTGGGAATATATTCAGAGGAAATGAATACACTGTGTGAAGAGATAGCTACACTCTGATGGTGCGGAGCAATTAGGGCTGGCACCAGCAGCAGGTGTGAGCGGGGATGGTGCTGTCAGCGGGTGCGAGTGGCGGCTGCTACCCCGATTGCCCCTCAGGAGCAGGGGGAAGTGGAGAAGCCCTCAGGGGTGATTGGGGCTGGCAGCCGCAACTTGCACCCACTGATGGTGCTGAGCGATTGGGACCGGTGCCAAGTGCCAGCAGTGTGTGCGAGTGGTGGCTCCCGCTCTGGCTGCGGGTGCAAGGGGGGGCTGGTGCCAGCAGTGGGTGCGAGTGTGGCTCCGGCACTGGCAGTGGTGCAATCGGGGCCATTGTTGGCAGTGGTGCGAGCGGGGCCATTGCCGGCAGTGGATGAGAGAAGCGGCTGCCAGTCCTGATTGCCCCTCAGGAGCAGGGGGAGGTGGAAAAGCCCTGAGGGGCAATCAGGGCTGGCAGCAGCCGCTTGCACCTGCTGACAAGTGGCTGGGGCTGGCACCTGGTGCCAGCAGCAGGTGCGAGTGCCCTATGGGACCATGGTGTGTGGGAGCAAATAATTTTCAGTAAGCACCAGAGGCTCACCCTGGTGACAGCGACTGGCGCCCTGCCTTGGTCTGGCGCCCCCGCTCACCTGCTCTACCATCCCACCACAGCCGATGTCCGCCATGTTCAGCGCTCTGCCACCTGCTGCCAATGCCCACCATGTTCTGCACGTGCCCCCTGGTGATCAGCGCACGTCAGTGACCAGTTGTTTGGTTGTTTGATTGTTCCTCTGTTTGGTCTATTTGGATATTAGGGATATATATATATGAAAGAAATATGTCATTTTTGGCAACAGGGATGAACCTTGTGGGCATTCTGCTAAGTAAAATAAATCAGACATAGAAAGACAAATACTGTGCAATCTCACTAATATGTAGGATCTATAAGCAAAACAAAATACCAACCTCATAAAATAATAGATCAGATTTGTATTAATAGAGGTGGTATATTAGGGGGTGGGGAATTGGAGGAGGGTGGTCAAAAATACAAACTTCTAGTTATAAGATAAATAAGTACTGGGGGGTGTAATGTACAACATGATGACTAGTTAACACTGCTATATAGTATATTTGAACATTGTTAAGAGAGTAAATCCTAACAGGTGTTAGCACAAAGAAAGGATGTTAAACTTATTGTGATAATTATTTCACAACTAGAGGCCTGGTGCATGAAAACTCATGCACCGGAGGGGGTGTCCCACAGCCAGGCCTGTCCCCTCTCACAGTCTGGGGGCCCTCAGGGGTGGGAGACAATCCAGAAATCAGGGGAATTTGAATGTGAACATATATCAGAGTAATGTATCATTATTTTTACACCTGGCTGTTTACTTAAAGTACTTCCACTATAAAAGAACAAAAACCACTAAAGGGTAAATTTTTCATTGTAATGGCTCAAGAATTATGGCCTAAACTTTCAGAATATTTCCAAAGCCAGTATTAGAGCTTCGGATGACAGGTTTATGTCAAATAAAAGAGATTATAATTCTTTGCACATGATCATCTGGGAGAGATTTTAGATGAACTTTCTACTTAAAACTTCAAGATTTTTTCTTAAAGAGAAGTAGCTGTAAAGATATGCCTCCACCTCTCCCCCACCTTTCTTTTCTCCCTTTCCTTCTCTTCCCTTCCCTTCCCTTCCCTTCCCTTCCCTTCCCTTCCCTTCCTTCCTTTTCTTCTCCATCTCCGTTTCCTTCTCCTTCAGTAGAGAAATAATGCTTTGTAGACTGATGTCATGTGAGTACAAGAAATGAGATCCACACTTCATTGCCCTAAAAGATCAAAGACTATTGCCTGAGGGGGAAATGAGCTTGTCTCAGAAGGTCTTGTAACTACTTTGTCCAAGTGAACGGTAGGCACAGTCCTGGTAAAGAGCTTCCTGGGAGCCTATTCTCTGTCTGCTCACAATGCTGTTGGCAAGATATCTAACTTGTAGGGACGGTAGCACGTGATCCCCAGATGCACACTCTACCTTCCCTGCATGCAGATTCAAGCAAACATGAACTGGGTTTAATGGATATCAGTCAGAAAGAGACCTGGCTTTTCAGGAAACTTAGCTTGCGGATGCATTGAAATTCAAAGGCACTATAAAAAATGAAGGAAATCATCAAATTTATGAGCATTCTCAAGCCATCCTAGTTTCAGGACCTTTATACAGTTCAAAGGTGAGTTAGAGGACTCCAACCAAGAAGGTTTATAGATTTCTGATTCTGTCTTTAAGTTATATAACTATTTACTAAACGAAAAATTACAGAGAATTTTTAAAAATTCAAACAAAAAGTGCAAGAGATGTTTCTCTCTCATTGATGTTTCTATCTCTCTATTCCCCCCTTCCAATCTCTCTAAAAAAATCAATAAAAGCATATTCAAAAAATTTTAAAAAGCAAAACTGCATTATTTAGCTTTCTGTGTTTTCAATGAGTCACCTATAAAGTGAAAGAATTTGGCTGAATAAATGAAGGGTAAGTCATTAACAGCAAGATCATTATTTTTCTCATTTCAAAAGATCTATAAAAGGGCATAGTGGGCCCTAGATGTGATCATTTGCAAGCAGAAATATCTGAAGGAAAAACTTGAAATGTGCATCTGGGTTACATTTTCAACAATAACTAAAAACTATCTTCTCTCTAAGTCTAGCTTTTCCTAGATGCAAGGCAGATCAATTTATAATTTGTATTCAAAGGAATCTCATATTTGGTGACACCTAACCTATACATCAAAATAAGTAGCGATTATGTCATTTGTAATTACTCACATTGATATTACTCCATATTCGTTATGAACCCAGTTGGCATATGTATATGTTAATTGACATTACATAGTTATCACAAAAATATCTATTGAGTACATTCTATTGAACCAAGAGGTGAGAGATTTATGTATAACTTTTGGTGATAAATTTTTATTTTCTGGGCCTTAGTGTCCTTGTTTATAAAATGATCAATGTAAAAAAGTAAAGGGCTAGAACTAGATGTCTGAGGAGTTAGAGCATTTTTGGGGTGTGTGCATAATGAGATATATGGTCATTCATGTATCTATATTTTCTACTCTTCCCAATATAAAAAGCCTGATTAATTGACTTGCACATTTTCTTGATACTTAAAGAGATGTATTATAAAGCAAAATAAAGTCTGTTTATTTGGTTTTCCAGGTTTTGCTTTGAGGAATTAGTTTATTTTGTAAGAAAGTATTAGATATTTCTGTGAAGCTGTATTAAGAATAAGACTAAATCAAAATTACAAAACAGGCTTATATCAAGGTTCAACAACAAATAAAGGTCCTTGACTCTTTTACCTTTTAAACTACACAAAATATTATGACTGATTGATCTCGTTATCTTGAATTCCTATTTATCCCCATTAGATTCTAAGTAATTATCTGTTCAGATGAAGTAAAGAAATATATCATCTCCATTTTATATGAGGTGTTGACATTTATTGATTTAATGTTCTCTTAAAATCTTTTGGGGAAATGGTTTTTAAACTGTAATAATAAGTGGACAGAAATTAATGGATCCACCTAAACTTGAGCAACATTTTGACATGTAATTCATTGTCAAAATTTTGGGTATGAATTTTATTTTTACTCTTTGTTGGAGTAAGAAAAGTTATGCAGGCATATCTAGGTATGTATGTATGTATGTATTTATTGTAATTTGTACTGCTCCTTCTCTGTGAGCTAGTGTTTGAGGATACTGCTCTATTAAGAAACATAATTAATTTTTTCAGATTCTGACCATGCATTTTATTTGCTGGCATTGCTAGTCTGAATGTTCTTCAAAAGAAAATCTTTGGAAAAATATTTTGCTCTAAATAATTTAGGAAGAAGATACAGATAAAATATTATGAATGTACTAAATGATTAACATTCAGACACTTCTGCATTAATCTACACTAATAAAAGAGAAACATGGTAATTGGCGTACGACCGCTACCCTTTTCATTGGCTAATCAGTGAGTATATGCAAATTAACTGTCAGCCAAGATGGCGGCCGGCAGCCAGGCACTGAAGCGAGCACGAGGCTTGCTTGCTGCAGATTCCAACGTTCTCCGCCTAACTTGCCAGCCTCTCAGTTGCAACTCTAAGCAACTATATACTATGTTGCAAATAAGAAGCTAAACAAAACCCCAGAAAAGGGCTTCCATTCAGCCGGGCTC